GTTAGATCAATGCACCACTTGTAGCATACAAAGATCGAAATTCCCATCCGCTTGCTTGCATAGTTGCATGCCAGCGCGCGTCCACCACTGATCTCAAGTACAGTTGCTAGATAATAAAAATTTAGGAGCGCGAGAACAACGAACGCCAAGTGGGCAGCTCACTTGCATCCAGCCGCAAATTCTCTTTTTCGCCCTCGTCGCATGCATCTCGCAGGCATAAATCCGTGGCACTGATCTACGCATACATATTCTCCCGCTAGATCGTTTGCTTCGCCCGCAAGAACACGCGGCTTTCTGCGTCCAATGCATCCGTCCGATGAAGCCTTTTCGCGCGCGGTCTCGCTCGCAATGATTCGGTGGTTGGGATCGCGGAGCAGATCGGGTCGTCGGCCCGATCGAGCTCCGGCCGGACTCTCTGACTCTCTCTCTCTCTCGCAAAGTACGCACGAATCTACACTCGATTTTTCAACCCTTCCGCGGCCGTGGTTAATAAACAGGCCACGCGAACAACGATCCTGTTAAACAAAGCTAGGGTTTCGCGTTACGGCCGCTGGCTAATTCATCCATCCGCCACGCCCTGCTCATGCAGTGGTACGACGTCCGTGTGGATGTGCTTAGCCAATCAGTGCGAGTTACTAGCTACCATCATGCACACACCCTTTCAGTCGTCTCTGCCTCTCTGGAAACCCCACCATGCATGCAGGGGTTCTGAAATTAAACGAGCTAGAGAAAGTCTACCGGAAGCTGCTGCTACGCCAGCCCTTGCCTGGACGGGAAGGGTTCAGCCAGCGCTGTCCCAGTGCTGTCCGCCTGTCGCTGACGAGCGAGATGAACTGGAAATATTCGCGTCGACTAAATGATAGATTGGAGAGCTAGAGTCGTCGTCGCATGGAGCCATCGGCGGCCATGGGCGGTGCAACACGCATCGGCTCCATCAACGGATCGATCTGGGTATCGGTTTCTTGGCATATGTTAGTTGGTGAAAAGCGCGAGCTGATGATTCCAAAAAAAAAAAGCGCGAGCTGATGAGATCCATTTGGCTGCGATCCCGCCAGCGCCATATCCCGGGTAGAGGGTGTTGCTAATTTTAGCTGTGCCTAATAAGCTAGTAGTTCCCCTGTTCTAGATAGCACATGTCACGTCCACACCTGCCGTTGAACTTTTTGGTTTAAGTATGCATGATCACTGCTTAATAAGGTGTACAGATCAGATCAGAGGGTCAGTCATAAACTAATTGTTAATGTTAATGTTATCGTTAATTTGCTGCTACTTCTATAGTAATAGTGTGTGATCATTATTAGTATGTAGACCTATTCGTCTAAAATTCTTGCAGAGAGATCCACAGCGGCAGATTTCTTTTTTTTTTTAAAAAAAAAACTCAATGCAAACGCAGACGCTCACATACGAGTGTATACTCACTTCTATAAATGCACGTACTAATGATGATCCTTCAAAGACTGAGCTAGTCCAACAATCTCCGAAAGACAGCTGACAAATCTTGATATTGACGAAGTTCTCACATGTGCCTTGTTGTCGATGGTATGTCGCCCTGTTAATTAAATCCTAAAATAAATATGTAAGTGGAAGACTTAAACCCAGGAGAATATAGGTCCCATCCTAAAAACTTAACCAACTGAGCTATGCTCTACTTGAATCGCCTAAAACTTAGGTTTTTGAGACTAGTACGTGGCCAAGAAGAAGGTTCATCCACCTCTCTCTCCTCTTCTTGTTCTTCCCCTTTTTTTTCTTTTTGTTCCTTTCTTTTTTCTTTTTTCCTCCACCTATGGTCAAAACCTGGTTTAACCATTACAAAATCATAATTAACTTATTTTATTAAAGAAAAAATGAAACTACTTATAGTTTTATTTTAAAAATGTTATCTATCTGTTTATATGATATCAGAGTTAGTTAGATCTTTTTAAAAAAAAAATAAACAATAAGCACGGCTACAAGCAATAAATCAATACAAATAGAAACAAACCAGATCCAAATAAACAAATTGACATCATTTTTAGAAAACATAGATACTTGTTTTATATTTTTATCTAAACTATTTATGAATTTTTAGAGATGAAATTAGTTTATATTTTTAGAATATAGAAAACCACCTATGATACCTGCCAAAGATCCAATTTGTTTAGTTTCAACGATTGGAAAGTGTCAGTTGCCCGATTTTGTAGTTTATGGTTGAAAATCAAATTGACATGTATTTTGAATGTTGAAAAATATATATTACCCATTTGTAAATGGCATCATAAAAATTGCAATGCTTCAAGTGCAAAATTTGTAAATCTTTAAAGAAAAGGTTAAACTTGAGTAAATATATACAGTGATTGCGTACATTACTAGCAGGATGCAGGAGCAACTGAGCAAGTGCCTACACTTCCGATTTGGATCCTATTCTTCAGGCTATATTTTAATCCCAGAGGCGAAGCCCTGTTTCACTGTTGGTCATGTTACTCTTGTGTCGTGGGGCCACTTGTGCGTGCGGCCCGGCTGTTTGTTACGTCCCATACGGAGCCAAATGATCTGGACTGTACCCAAAGGGCAGGCCACATGCGTCCAGGAGCACGTACGCGTGTTGCAAGGCAAGGTCCGTGCATTATTTTGCTGATTTTTCTTGTGTTTTTTTTTAAATAGGATTTTTCTTGTGTTTGGAAACTGCATGGCGCGTGCGCTCGGGAGACGGCGGTGCCGGTGCAGGGTCCAGTCCAGGGCTCCAACAAGACCCGGAAAAAAGACAGCGCAAAACCAACTAAAACAAGCGTTTTGCGGCGCTTTTTCCAGCAAGAATCGCAGCAGCTACGCGGAGGAAAGTGCCTGAATTCTGGTTGTGCTCCTTCCTCCACTTGGCGGACTCTATGCTGCGAAAAGTTGAGACAACGCTAGTACGAAATGGCGCGTTTCAGCTGTTCTTAAGAGGCATCCTCTTGTTACGTGCAGAGCATTTTGTGTTAGCTAGAAATGGATTCACAGTAGATTGAACACCTGAATGGAAATATATGGCAAACAAAGAGCATCACCAGCTGTGTGTCGAATCTATTTGACACATCTGACGGATTTATGCGCCCAGTACAGCGTCCTTTTCGGGGCCGTGTTTCCAAGAAGATTCAGAAACTGGATTGATCTGATATTCTTTTATTTCAGTTCTGGATTCAGGCTAGCGTCCTGGATAGCTTTGTTTAGAGGCATCAAAAGAACTGTATGTGTCTAGCTAGGTGGCGAAACACTATACTATACCACTGATGAAGCTAAGTATAGACCTTAATTAGATTGCTGTGACACAGAGACGAGAAAAGAAGGAAAAGATAGATCGCAAGAAGATCACGAAAAGAGCTCAACTGCTTGACTGGCATCCAAGTGCGCGCACGGAGATGGGATTGGCGTGTGCCGGTGAATATACAATCCAGTTCGTTTTGTGATAAGCACGTAGGCCACGAATCACAGAAACTGTGGCTTTCTGTTTCTTGTGCTTAAAGCTCACATACATTTGACTGACGACTCTACTTGACTGTGAGAGCTCCGAAGCAAGTGCACAGTGTATGAATGGAGTATAGTGTACACAAGAACTTTGCACATTTATTACAGAGACAAACACAGCCATGCAAAAATTTAGATATCTGGATTTGAGAAGTACGGCACTACTGTTCGAACCATACGAATGGCAGAGTGGGCATCAGTAGGCAGGCAGTAGGGTGTGGTTGCCTGAATGGAATATGATGATGCTCCGTCCGATGGAATGAAACATGGTGCAGTTGCCCACTCGCTGTGCTGTGCATATATTATATATAAACAATGGCATCCCCAGGCACAGAGGGTGACGGCAGAATAATCCATGGTCCGGAGACACGCCGGGCAAGACTTTGCCGTTCTTTATCCCCACCCAATTCTAGCCAGCTTCTCAACAGCCAATACTCCTGTGTCCTCCGCCGCAACCCAGTACGTATACCACAACGAAAGGAAGGTGTCCTTGGACTGATTTGAAATTACATTCTTATCCCTGGGTGCTTCCAAACTCCGAATAATCTAAAGCTGCCTTGCGTGTAGACCGCTAAACCTCATGGTAGATCAACTACTCTGAAATTTTGTTATCTTTTCTCTTTCAAAGGTGCCTAGAATAAATTGACAGTGCATTATTCGTAACAAAGTAGTGTGATAGTTAAGGCATGGATTATTCCGGTTTTATCTGCCAAAAAATAAAGAAGCAGTTATCTACTTGCAGAAGTGTTTTTCTTTTTGTAGATGAATGAAACACAAATATTCTGCTTGTTTTAATCCACTGAATGGCTATCAATTTTTTTGTAAATTAAAAAATATAGATAGCAAAAAAATTAATGTTTTCGATAAGATGCTAAAACATTGAGCGGATTTTCTTCAAAAGCTATAACAGGGTATAATAGAAGCTATTTCATTTAGTGATTTTAGAGAAAAATACGAATATCCTTCATTAATTATGCAAGGGAGCATATAACTAAGAAAATTTCACAAGCACTACAAAGTACTCATATACGTATATAATTCTCTAGGAGAACATGTCTCAATATCTATTTCTTGACATTCATTAAGCTAGTCAACATGAGTCATGGTTACGATCAACATTCATATAATTCAACAATCAACAATTAGAAATAGTGAAATAATTAGCGATATCATAGTGTAGACCCTATGCAAATGCTATAGCATCATATTTAGATCCATGAAAAAATAAATAATTTTGCTAAATATAAAAGGCATAACGTAATTAAAATTAAACACAAATGGTTATATGCTTATGCCGTTATTCCGTCACTTTTTAAAGGCCAAGCCTAGCACTAGCAGCAAGGTGGTTTATAAAAGGCACCCATACTCCCACAAACCCACACAGAACCTCCTTCGTCTCCCCGTAGCACATGCAACCATATCTTGAGCTAGCTTCTCCCAGCTGCCTCGCCAGCACCACCATCCCTCTCTCGGCCGGCAAATTATATCGCACGGCGAACGTTCTTGTCACCTCGGAGGCCATGGCTTCCTCCATGACCTATATAGCTGCCTGCGCCGCGGCATTGGCGACCTTCGTCGCTCTGCTCCGCTGGGCGTACCGATGGAGCCACCCCAAGTGTAGGGGCAGGCTCCCGCCGGGCTCCATGGGCATCCCTCTCCTCGGCGAGACGATGCAGTTCTTCGCGCCCAACCCGAGCTGCGACGTGTCCCCCTTCGTGAAGGAGCGGGTGAAGCGGTACGGGAGCATCTTCAAGACGAGCATCGTGGGGCGGCAGGTGGTGGTGTCGGCGGACCCGGACATGAACTACTTCGTGTTCCAGCAGGAGGGGAAGCTGTTCGAGAGCTGGTACCCGGACACCTTCACCGAGATCTTCGGCCGCGACAACGTCGGCTCCCTGCACGGCTTCATGTACAAGTACCTCAAGACCCTGGTGCTCCGCCTCTACGGCCAGGAGAACCTCAAGGCGGTGCTCCTCGCCGAGACGGACGCCGCCTGCCGCGGCAGCCTCGCCTCGTGGGCGGCGCAGCCCAGCGTCGAGCTCAAGGAAGGCCTCTCCACAGTAAGCAGCTAGCTAGCGGCTCGATCGAGCTAGCAGCCCCCAGCTCCTGAATCCTGATGCATGCGCCATTGCCGCCAGCGGATCACTGATAGATGCTTCAATTTTCAGATGATATTTGATCTTACCGCCAAGAAGCTGATCGGCTACGAGCCGTCCAAGTCGTCCGAGAGCCTGAGGAAGAACTTCGTGGCGTTCATCCGCGGGCTGATTTCTTTCCCCGTCAACATCCCCGGCACGGCCTACCATGAATGCATGGAGGTAATTAATAAGAGCATGCTGCGGTGAATTGCACTTGCACGGTTGCACCACCTGTTTTTACATACTCCGTACAAAATAAAGTACTGAGCATGCACACGCACGGCTGTTGTTCCGTATAGCTGCGCACATGCACTGCACAAATTCTCAAGGAAGGAATATACAATTTCGTCATGTTTAATTCTCTGTCGTTGGACAATTATGATCAACAATCGCATCAGAGTTTTTCTAATCGATCTTCATCGTCGACAACAGGGGCGGAAGAAGGCGATGAAGGTGCTCAAGGGCATGATGAAGGAGCGGATGGCGGATCCCGAGCGGCGGTGCGAGGACTTCTTCGACCACGTGATCCAGGAACTTCGGAGGGAGAAGCCGCTCCTGACGGAGACCATCGCGCTGGACCTCATGTTCGTGCTCCTCTTCGCCAGCTTCGAGACCACGGCGCTGGCGCTCACCCTCGGCGTCAAGCTCCTCACCGATAACCCCAAGGTCGTCGACGCGTTGAGGGTAAGCAACAAGCAAGCAGTCAAGAGAAGCCATGTATGTCCGTGTGATTCTGACTACGGGCTAAACGAGACTCTGTTATGTTATCCCTGGTCGAGCAGGAGGAGCACGACGCGATCGCCAAGAACAGGAAGGACCCGGATGCCCCCGTCACGTGGGCCGAGTACAGATCGATGACCTTCACCAATCAGGTGAGCCTATCCCGGACCGCTGCGCCCCTAGCTTGCTCATAGCCCAGTTCGTAGCGTACGAGAGCAACTGTACATGTGCAAGTTGCATTGTTAACTTGCAAAGACAGTATCACAGCTCTAAGCGAGAGGCCTATCACGAGTTAGCATTGCATCCAAGAATCTTGGAAGCCCGACGCTGCAGCGTGAAGGCGCAAGCCATAGTTTGTGTTTTTCCTGACCAAGTCCCAGACTTCGAGGTAGACAGATAATTTTACTTAATTAGTGTATAAGAACTACGAAGCTGAAGATTAAAGAACGGAAGGGGGGAATCAAAACCTAAGGCCCTGATTTTGGCCACAGTATAATTTATTTACATTACAGGCAGTTGCGCGAATAGCAAGAGTTGTGCATGCTCTTGGATGCCTCTGAAGTAGTCTGAACTCTGAAGCGCCGTTTTCTGAATCCGGCAAGTGCTGAAGAACTGACTGACACCTCTGTTCCTGTCTCTCTCTGAAGGTCATCATGGAGATGGTGAGGCTCGCAAACATCGTGCCGGGGATATTTCGAAAGGCCCTGCAAGATGTTGAGATTAAAGGTACGTACACACCACGAAATGCACATGGCTGGCATGGCATCTCTCTCTTGTTCTCCTACGTACAAGAAAAATGATATCTTGAGCAAGTTGCGTGGAAACTCATCTCCGTGCTGTATTTCTGCGGCGTTCGTTGGCACAGGCCATACGATTCCGGCAGGATGGGGTGTCATGGTGTGCCCACCGGCAGTGCACTTAAACCCTGACATCTATGAAGATCCGTTGGCGTTCAACCCATGGAGGTGGCAGGTTCGTCTTGCTCGATGATATCTCGATCGGCAACAATTTTTGTATTCTGCATCATCGTTCCTATCGCTTTAGGGTTCTGTCGCGCGAGGTCGTTCAGTGAGTCTGTATTAGGTTGCAAGGGAATGAGTTGTTTGGTTCTATATTCTATCTAGGTAGGATGAAATGCTATGATCTGATTTGCTCACCGAACTTGCATATATTCTCCTCTCGAGTCTCAACATTAAAACGGAGATCACAAACAAGAATAGTTTAACCAACTGAAAGTCTCCAATAATTGCCAGAGTGATTAATTAGTCCACGATCGGGAGGCTCTGATCCCAAGTACCAACTTGGCCGCAGAGATCAAGGAGGAATTCGATCGGTTGGCGTCCATGTAGTGTATGAGTCCGTGAACCATCGCAGAAGCTTCCTCACTTAGTAGTTTAACAACAAGGTCAAAATGGCAACAGATGAACATGGTGTAGCTCAGTAACAAGAGGCAACTGTGCAAGTCAGCCAACTACAAAAACAGACAGATAGTGCTTGATCGTCTCACTGTCTAAGGATTTTTTTTAAAAAAAATCTGTATTTGGGGGTTCAGGGTTCGAATCAGACAGTTTCTCTTTCTGAATCCGGTAGCTGAACTGAAGCATGTGTTATTTCACCGAGTGCAAGTAAAAGATAAGATTCAAAAATAGGGCAAAGTATGATGCAATCCTAGTGATAGATTCAGATTTTTTGAAATAAAAGGTTCTAACCTTGTTGTCTTCTGAACAGGGCAAACCTGAAATCACCGGTGGAACGAAACATTTCATGGCGTTTGGAGGTGGCCTCAGGTTTTGCGTTGGGACTGATCTTAGTAGGGTCTTGATGGCAACATTCATCCACAGCTTGGTTACAAAATACAGGTACCGTTTCTACATCTGATATATAGCGATATCTCTTGATATTTATGCTCTGAAACAAAGAAATCTCATAGTTCTTTTTTTCCCTAATGTCACAGTTGGAGGACAGTAAAAGGAGGGAACATAGTCCGGACCCCCGGTCTCGGCTTTCCTGATGGCTTCCACATCCAGCTTTTTCCGAGAAATTGAAATTGGCCCTTTTTTAACCTCTGACAAGGTTGTGCATGTAATTAAAGAGGGTTTTCTTTTTGAAACGAAAAGGAGGGGGTGGGGTAGGTCTCTTAGGGGCAACACCGAAACAGTAAAGGATTGGAAATCATATACTTAGTCTAGTGTAGTAGTGTTAGGATAGACATCACTAGTTACAAGTTCAGTCATATTACTGGGTACTACCTCTAACCTTTGCAAGGGGTTTTTGTACTTGGTTGTTTGTTTTCCATGTGGTTCTACCCATGTGTTGTATGTATATCTGATTATACATGTCTAATGAAAGAAGAATACAGGAGCTATGCGTAAAGATGTTTGTGGAGCCATGCGAAGAAGCTCCATTTGTTTCCAGCTCAGTCTCCAGGCACATAGCATCCCCAGCTTGTTCAGATATGGTAGAGTTAATGACTGAAAATAGCCTAGTATTTAGGTCAGAATCAGTGGTTACTGTTCAAATATATTGCGTCCCTGAGTGATTGGTACTCTCCAGGCCAAAAAAAAAAAAGTTTGAAAATGGTGCAGCAACTGATAGAAAGAGGTGTCAGATGGAAACTTTTTTCAGTATATTACTCTCTAAACAATCATCAGTTTTTGTACCGCATATGAGGGAACTGCAGATAACAACTGTACAGATACAGGCTAACTTGCTCTAAGAGAAGTGTAACTATGAACTATTATGGCTGTATGAAAAATTAGAATACAGCTTCAGGTACGACGTTAAAATGGAAGAAGATACCAGTGGCTCATATCAGCAATGATTACTGGATCAAGTATCCATTCATCCTCCGATAGATATTTGACACTGTAAATAAAGGAAATAAAGAATCATTATGGAACTTGCCAACAGCAGGGTGACAACATGATATCTATTTTTTGATCTAACCAATTCTTCTACATGCTAAGGAAACATATGAACTCTACACAAAATTCTTATATAATTTCAAGTAAAATACCTTCCTTTTTTTAATGTAGGTACACCAGAATACAGAGAGACAGAGCGCCATGTGGCATACATAGTGAAGTACCGAGAATGCTTATACATGCAAGCACAGCATCAAGTACTCCTAAAAGTTTGATCAAATCAATATCCAGCAATATGGAAGATGTACTACCTAGTTGCATTTTCAGTTCCAGATCCTACGATTTTATACTCCATAATCCCAATTGACCAATTGGCCACAAGCAAGAGCAGGAAGCAAAAGTATAGGAAGAGTTGAGATGCACTACAAACCTTGTGCAGATCAAAGGTTCATCAATATTTTGCAATATTGCCTGACTGATGGGATCATCTGGAATTCGGACGCCAACCTGTCTCCTTTTTGCATACCTTGTGGAAGAACCATATGCTTTATGCACTGTTTAGGAAATTGCTTGGTTGCAGGTAAAATAAATGTGTACTGCAGAAGATTCAAATAATCAAGTTACTTGTGAAGTAATCAAGTACAGACTGCAGTACATGGTGAATAAGAGGATATCCTTACAGGCCTAGGCATTGCACACTTGACAGCACGGAAAATGTTAGCTTGCCCTTGGTTGGTGCCTCGAGCAAATCCTGTGGTGTAGGTATCGATATCACGCAATGAGCGACACATGATGCTGAGAGGCTGCATAATTCAGCATGAGTATAAGAACATGGTGCACATGCAGATGGGTACTACGCTCTGCAAGCCATATTTCGTTGCAGAAACATGTTGACCCAAATTGACTCTGTAGTCCTGATAATCTTGCCTTTGAGTCTCCAATGCCTTTCAGTCTGCATCGATAACAAACATATAGCACTGTTAGAGCTAAAATGGCTTGTTTCATGCCTAAGATTGCGAGCGAACATTGGACTTGATCACTTATCACACCAAAATGATCAAAGCAGTAAATTTACCTGCAAAGGTACTCAATAGATTCATTGTTACTCAGGTCACAGACGATGGAGTAGCTGTCAAAAGTATGAACCCATGTTATTTGTGGTTAACCAAGCATAGTACAAATAGAAAATGTAAGAAGATTAGTATAATTGTGCCTATAGGAATACACTCAAACAAAACCCACACAAGAAAACAGGACAGATGCACATATGCAACTTATCAATTTTCCATTCCTGTATTTTTTTCCTGTATTATGTGTTCAAGAGACTAAATGGAAGGGTCAGAAGGCGAAGGAGGTGGACAATACATGTTTCAAGCTTTGATACACAGGGACATTCGCGAATAGAAATGGGGTAGGAGTTTTGATTGATAAGGGCATCAAGAATAGTGTGGTAGGAATGAAAAGGTAAGGAGATAGGATTATCTTAGTCAAGCTTGTCATTAGTGATATGGTCTTGAGCGTAATTAGTGCGTATGCCTCCCAAGTAGGCCTCGACAAGAGTGCTAAGAGACAGTTCTGGGAAGACTTAGATGACTTGATTAGAGTTATACCTAGTAGTGAGAATGTTTTTATAGGAGAAGATTTTAATGGGCATGTAGGTACTACAAGCGCAAGTTTCAAGGCAGTTCATGGAGGTTTTTGGTATGGTAGTAGGAATCAGGAGGGGGAGGAAGTTCTAGACTTTGCGGTAGCTTTTGACCTGATGATAGCCAACACTTTCTTTAAAAAAGAGAGAATCTCATTTAGTGACCTTCAGTAGCGGACAACACTCTAGCCAGATAGGACAAACGAGCATGCTTGGGTTGCAAGGTGATACCAGGGGAGTGTGTTGTTTCTCAACATAAACTTTTGGTGGCAGACTTTTGTTTTCAGTGTGTGTCCGATAGGGATAAACAAGTTAAGATTGAAAAAAACAAAGTGGTGGAAACTGAAAAGGGAGACGTCAGAGGTATTCAGGGAAAGGATTATCAAAGATGGCTCTTGGAAGAAAGAAGAGGACATAAACAACATGTGGGAGAAGATGACAACCAACATTTGGAAGGTGACCTCAGAGGTGTGTGGAGTAACCAAAGGAAGTGGAGGCGAGGCTAAAGATACTTGGTGGTGGAACGAGGAAGTCCAAATGGCTATTAAGGAGAAGAAAGAATGCTATAGACGCTTGTACCATGACAGGAGTGTGGACAACATAGAGAAGTACAAGGTGGCAAAAAGACTGTAAAGCGAGCTGTAAGTGTGGCAAAGGGTAGAGCGTACGATGATCTTTACCAACATTTGGGTACGAAGAAAGGAGAGAAGAATATTTATAAGATGGCTAGGGTTCGTGAGAGAAAGACAAGGGACTTCAACCAAGTTAAGTGCATTAAGGATGAACGTGAGCATCTCTTGGTGAAGGAGGATGAGATCCGACATCGATGGCAAGAGTATTTTGACAAATTGTTCAATGGTGAGAATGTGGACACAACCTTTCAGTTGGATGACTCTTTTAATGACACCAATAGGCGCTTTATGCGGAGAATCCAAAAATCTGAGATCAGAGAGGCGTTGGAAAGGATGAAAGGAGGTAAGGCGATGGGACCGGATGGTATCCCAATCGAGGTGTGGAGATGCCTTGGGGACATAGCTATAGCATGCCTAACCAAGCTATTCAACCATATTTTTCGATCGAATAAGATGCCTGACGAGTGGAGAAGTATATTGGTACCGATCTACAAGAATAAAGGGAATATTCAAAGTTGTACTAATTACCGGGGAATTAAGTTGATGAGTCATACTATGAAGCTGTGGGAGAGAGTTATCAAGCATCGCTTGAGAGCAATAACGCGGGTCTCTATGAACCAATTTGATTTCATGCCCGAAAGGTCAACTATGGAAGCCATTTTCTTAATAAGACAAGTTATGAAGCGGTATAGGGAGTAGAAGAAGGACCTACACATGGTTTTTATTGACTTGGAGAAGGTTTATGATAAAATACCAATGAATATTATGTGGTGGGCTTTAGACAAACATAAAGTCCCAACGAAGTACGTCGGGCTCATTAAAGACATGTACAACAATGTTGTGACTAGTGTTCGAACAAGTGATGGAGACACGGATGACTTTCCGATTAGAATAGGACTACATCAAGGGTCAACTTTGAGCCCTTATCTGTTTGCCTTAGTGATGGATGAGGTCACAAGGAACATACAAGGGGACATCTCTTGGTGTATGCTTTTCGTGGACGATGTAGTGCTAGTTGATGAAAGTCGGACATGAGTGAATCAGAAACTAGAGTTATGGCGGGAGACTTTGGAGTCCAAAGGTTTTAGAATCAGTAGAACTAAAACTGAGTATATGAGATGTGACTCCGGCACTACTACTCGGGAGGAGGAATATATTAGTTTGGAAGGTCAAGTAGTGTCTAGGAAGGATACCTTTCGATATTTAGGATCAATGCTACAAAGAGACAGGGATATTGATGAAGATGTTAGCCATAGAATCAAAGCAGGGTGGATGAAGTGGTGCCAAACATCTGGTGTCCTATATGACAAAGGGTACCACAGAAGCTAAAAGGCAAGTTTTATAGGACGACGATTAGACCTACTATGTTGTATGGTGTAGAATGTTAGCTTACGAAAAGATGACATGTTCAACAGATAAGTGTCACGGAAATACGTATGTTACGTTGGATTTGCGGTCATACAAGAATGGATCGAGTTCGGAACGATGATATACGTGATAGATTAGGGGTAGCACCAATTGAAGAAAAACTTGTCCAACACTGGTTGAGATGGTTTGGACATGTCTAACGGAGACCTCCAGAGATACCGGTGCGTAGTGGAATCTTAAGCCAGGATAGTAACGTGAGGAGAGGCAGAGGAAGACCGAAGTTGACTTAGGTAGAGGCAATAAAAGAAGACTTGAAATGGTGGAATATACCCAAAGACTTAGCCTTAGATAGGAGTGCTTAGAAAGCAGCTATTCACGTGCCTGAACCTTGATTGCTTCTGCTGGGTTTCAACTCTAGCCGACCCTAACTTGTTTGGGACTTAAATGCTTTGTTGTTGTTGTTATTGTTGTATTTTATTTTCCAAACCTCAAATTTAGTGGAACAATGCTGCTTCAAAACAAAGCTAAGATTTTTT